CTTGAAAGTCTATTCCATAGAATTTAATTTGAAACATACCTTCATGTAAACATGGTTATGTGAATATAATTAATCCTTTTAAAATTTTAGAAATTTAATTTTTCTTCTTTGATTTATTTGGGTCAAATATGCTTTGAAGTATGCAGTGGCTCAAGTGGTTAAGATGCTGACTCTGTTGATTGCAAGATTGGCAGGTTGGCAGTTCAAGGCCCAGGTGAGCTCCTGTCACTAATCCCAGCTTCTGCCAACCTAGCAGTTCAAAAGCATGCAAATGCAAGTAGATAAACAGATATCATTTTGGTGGGAAGGTAAACAGCATTCTGTGCAATCATGCTGGCCACACCATCACAGAATAGTCTCTGGCAATGCTGGCTCTTTGGTTTAATAACGGAGATGAGCACCATCCCTTATGGTCAGACACGACTTGACAACCTTGTCAACGGGGATTACCTTTATACAACCTTTATGCTTTGAAGCAAATATCCTATATTATTTTTCCAAAATCTGTTATGCAAAGGGTATGCAGTAGCAAAATTTTCATTATTGGCTATTATAAAAAGATAAATTCCATGCCTAGGGATAATTAGTAAAGGAATTCACAATAAAATTGTCAATTCCTTTACTAATTATCCCTAGGCATGGAATTTACCTTTTTATAATAAAACTGTCAATACTGTACGGCCACGTTTTATAAATCAATATTGCAAATAGGGCCCCAAATTCTGTTGGTGAATTACAATGGTTTAAGTCAGACATACATCATAACATCTCAACAACCAAAAATCCCTACCTACACACCTTTTAAGTGATGTAACCTTCCCAGCATGGCACACTCATGTTGAAGGATGTGGAGAATAAGTGGAGATGTGCCCAACTATTTTCCTGTAACTGGAAATATTGTCAGGATGTCAGTAGGCAGCCTGTATCCAACTCAGCCTTCTCTGGCAGCTTTCCAAGAATAGAAAAATCCTGTTCATGAAAAGCTGCCAGAGAAGTCTGGGTTGGAAATGGGCTGCCTACTGAGTGGGCACTGGGTAGTGTGATACGATCCATCACTGATGGTTACAACCTGCGTCTATCCAGGCACAGATTTCACATGTGATAATCTCTTTAGTCTGTCCTTGGAGAACCTGAAAGAAGCACCAGCTCCCTCTACTCTTTCTGCTGCAACATTGTTTCTGGCCTTTTTGAATGCCTGGGTGGGAAAATGGTAGTTGTAGTTTCCTTCGCATCCATCCAGTCTTTAGGGTGAACACAAACATATATTCCTGGTGGAATTTTGTAAGTTTGCTTTGGTTCATCCATTACATCCTTTGTTATATGCCCTTAAATTTACCCTTGACTTATCTATGGGGTATATCAAAATCCATATTTTGGCTCCAAAACCTGTCCTCAATTTATACATGAGGTCAACTTATAGTTGAGTATATACAGTATATCTCCTGATGTAAGATCCTAGCAGGATTGTTATTGAGGTGTGTACCTTTGTTGGCTTTTGTATTTTTAAAATATATTATTTTAAATGTGATTTTGTAGTTGTTATCCATCCCCAAGTCAATCTCAACCCATGGTGATGAGACATCTGCAAGACTCCCTGTCCTCCACTGCTTTGCTCAGTTCCTGCAAATTTATAGAGTCCATCCAGCTAGCATGCAGCTTTCCTCTCTTTCTGCTTCCCTCCACCTTTCCTAGCATTATTGTTTTTTTCCAATGAGTTGTGCATTTTCATGATGTGGACAAAGTACAACAGCCTTAGTTTAATCATCTTGACTTCCAGAGAGATTTCTGGTCTGATCTGTTCTGGGACCCATTTGTTTGACTTCTTGGCCATCCATAGTACCTTTAGTGTTCTTCTCCAGCACCACATCACAAATGAAGTGATGTTCTTCCTATCTTCTTTCTTAACTGTCCAGCTTTCACATCCATACATAGTAATAGGGAATACAGTGGCTTGTACAACTCTAACTTTCATGCTTAGTTGTATATTTTTATATTTTAGGATCTTTTCCAGTTCTTTCGTAGCTGCCCTCCCCATTCTTAATCTTCTGATTTCCTTGCTGCAGTCCCCGTTCCTATCAATGTTTGATCCCAGGTATGAAAATTCTTTTACTATTTCTATTTCCTCATCATCCAGGTTGAATTTGTCTAGAATTTATGTGGTCATTATTTTTGTTTTCTTTGTGTTTAACAATAAGGCTGCCTTTGCACTTTCTTCCTTTATCTTCCTTAGTAGTTGCTCTAGGTCTGTGATGTTTTCTGCTAGTAGTATTGTGTCGCCTGCATACCTTAGATTGTTGATATTCCTTCCTCCTATTTTCATTCCTCCTTCTCCTATGTTCAAGCCTGCTATTTGTATAACGTGTTCTGCATACAAGTTAAATAGGTAGGGTGAAAGGATGCAGCCTTGCTTGACCCCTTTGTCAATTGGGAACCATTCTGTTTCTCCATATTCTTTAGTTTTAACATGAACGCTGAGGGACCATTGGTACAGGTGAAAGTTAGTTTAGAGATGCTCTTATAAAATAAAATAAAGTAAAATCAATACAGCTAAGCTGCTGTACTGTGACACAGTTAGGTGCCTGGCAAATACTATTAGTTTTGCAAGCAGCAGTCACTAGCTTGAAGGGCTGGCTCCCTGAATCCTAGCCCTTTCATCGCCCCACTGTTAGATGATGATTTTTTTATAACACACATACCCCTACTCTTTTGATATCATAATTGCAATGAAATGCCAGTTAAATGGCCCTTCTATAACTCCACTGTGGACGCCATTACTAGAAATCCTCCATCACATGTAGGCGTTAGGAGTCGCTGTGGCTTTGTTTTTCCTGGACACTACAGAGGAGATGAGAAATGCCAACAATGGGCTGACACCAAGGAGTGAATGACTCTGGTAGTTCCACGTGCTAATCCCTCTTGCCTTGGAAATGCACATCCATCACTCACATTCACACAACAGTATTACCACTTTGAAATACTGACTTCAAAGTGATCCAAACCCATTTCAAAGAAGTAACCACCATTTGGTCTTCTTCTATAACCTGAATTTTGCCCCAGGGTTTAAATTCCCTATAGCTATTGGTGCTTTTCCTTTGTTTTCTCAGCTTAGTCTTGTAATAGGCATACATGCTGCTAGTTTGCTTGGCTAACCCCATTCTCACTTGTTAACCTCTGTTTGCCTTGGAAGCAATTGAGTTTCCCATTTCATCTCTGGACCTGTAACAAGCAGAGCGACTATCCATTCAGTTATAGTATTTCCATTAGTTTAGCCTACTCTATTCCAACATAACACATTTGAATTGCTTAGTCTTTGTGGGTGTGTGTGGTTGAGTGTGGTGTATGATTGTTGGATTTTCCCTTTTAAAATAAATCTCATTATTTGGTTAGAAACCTGCCTCTACAATTCTTTGTGTCACTGGACTTGGTATACATAGGGATTGGGTCCTTGGCTAAGTAACCCGGCCATTAAGCTTTGCTACTTTTGAGCTAATACATAATTCTCCAGAACTCACATCAGTATTTGAGTGTCTTTTTTGGAAGGTGTACAACTCAGGGTTACATGCTGCCATTTCTGCCAACGTAGTCTAATCTGTTTGCAATATAAAATGGATAGGGAGCATTTCTAACCCCACCCCCCAATTGGTTTTGGCCTATAACTTCCATCAGCTTCAGTCAGTATGGACAATGGTAAGCAACTGTGGAAGCTGTATTCTAAAAATGTTGGAGTGCAAAGGTTTGCCATAAAACAAAGACTTCCAGTGAAATAGGGACAGTACAGTGAGCAACAAGGACAGGGAGACTATTGTCCCTGCAGATGACATTTCTGGAAGAGGAATCAAATCAAATGTTATCCTCTATTAGTAGCACCAGAGTAACCAGAGAAGGACATTTGCATTTCTGGAGGGGAAAGTTTTTTCAAAATTAAATTATATTCCTAGATTTTTTTAAAAAAAAATTCTTAGAAGCTCCCCAAACTGACCATTTTGCCATAAAACAAGATACAGCCCCCCCCCCCCACACTTTGTTTCACCCTTGAAGTCCTAGCCCATATGAAGTGAATTTCAGCTTAGGCATGTTGAGCCTAGTGATAAGAAGATGGAGGGGTGGCATGATTAGACTCTATAAAGATCTAAAGGGTTGTCATAAGGAGGAGAGTGCAAGTTTGTTCTGTGCTCCCCCAGAGGACCAGGTCTAATTGTTTTAAGTTGCAAGAGGGTAGATTTCGATTGAGCATTAGAAGGAACCTTTGACAGTAACAGCAGTTTGGCAATGGAACCAATTACCTAGAGAGTGGTGGGGTCTCCTTCTCTGGATGTTTTGTAAAAAAGGCTGGGCAGAGCAACTGTTAGGGATGCTCTAGAAGGAATTCCTCCATTGAGCAGAGGGTTGGAATTGCTGACCTGTGAGACTGCTTCTGACTATATGGTTCTATGATTCTTTATCTGTGGCAAGGCTGCAATGAGTCCCCCCTGTCTCTTAGATTGAGGAATTGAGCGTCTTTGCCATTTGTAAACTAATTCTAGACATAAAAAAGCTAGACAAATTTAAAACTCTGTTTGATGCTAAGGAGAGAAGCCTCTTGAGTCCCTAATGTCAAATTTGTATTATGAGTTCTGTTGCTTTGTATGGTTGAAGGAATAGATATTACTTATAGATATAAAACTCTTGAAACCTGAAGGCCATCATTTACGATTTGGTTAGCATGCTTTCTTTGATATGATACTGTTAAGGCACATGCTGAATTTAAAATTCATTGCATTACAAGGTTGGTATAAGTACAAACAGAATATTTCCTAAGATAATATTAACCAGTTCACTGCAATAAGCCATTATTATTATTATTATTTAGGAAAGGATGGGCTAAAAACTGGAGACAGTTGTTTTATGATGATCATTTGTATCCTGAACAAGACAGTTGGAAGTTTAAATCAAGAAAGAAATACAGCCATAGAAGTTAGAGAAAATTTGTTTATTTAGAGTTGTGTAAAGATGATGAGAGAGCCAGTGTACTGTAGTGGTTTGAATGTTGGACTATGACTCTGGAGACCAGGGTTCAATTCTTAGCTTGGCCATGAAACCCACTGGATGACCTTGAGCAAGTCACATGCTCTCAGCCTCAGAGGAAGGCAATGGCAAATCTCCTCTAAGAAAACCCCATAATAGGTTCACCTCTTAGAGTCACTGTAAGTCGGAAACAATTTGAAAGCACACAACAATATGCATAAAGATAATGGCCATGGTTGAAACCTAGAGACAGAAAATGAGTTTGTAAATAAGTATGTGACAAGGTGGGCCCAAAATTTTGGGCATAATCTTCACATGGATGTATGGGGGAAAATGTGGTCTAAAGATATAAAATTAATATTGTACAGTGATTTAAAAGAAAATCTGTATTATAGATGGTATCTAACTCCAAATAAGCTGTCAAAAATGTCCCAGAATGTTTCAGATTAATGCTGGGGACGTCAAAATAAGGAGGGTTCCTTTTTCCTATATGGTGGACTTGTAAAAAGGTGAAAAGTTATTGGTCTAAGATTTATATGTTAACCCAAAGAATTAAAAAGTAGATGTTGCTCTTAAGGATAAGTCAACTGAAGATTTTTTTTTTAAAGACTGGAAACTGTTTTTTTGAGCAATAAGAAATCTAATAGTCCAAATCACATTGAGACTGCTTTAACTGCTCTGGCTCCATGCTAGGGAATCCTGGGAATTGTATTTATTGTGGCACTCGAGCTCTCTGACAGGGAAGGCTAACTGTCTTGCAAAGCAACAGTTCCCAGAATTCCCTAGCATTGAGCCAGGGCAGTTAAAGCAGTTTCAAACTGGATTATTTCTACAGCATGTTTTGGACCTTTGTAATAATCAGTGGTTATCATTATCCATGGGCTTGCCATCCGCAGATATAATGCACGCAGACATGCCGCTATTAGGGATAATGGGACTTCAGGAGAATGGGGGCTTACCTGAAGTCCTGTTGTCCCTAATAGTGCTGCTTCTGTGTGCATGCGCTGCCATTGAGGACGATGGGACTTTAGGTCTCATGGTTTTTGGTATCGAGGTCCCACTATAATTTCAGTAGGATTTATTTAATTGGATCTGTAATGACAGAATAACTTTTTTCCTTTTTATTTTTTATTTTTACAGTCAGATTTGGGGGTCAGAATACTATTTTGTTAGCTGTCTTCCTGGCTTCTTTTCTTTTCCTTTTTTCCTGTCGTTTTATCTTCTGAATGTATATTACTTGGATTGTAAATTCAATTATCTATTTTCATGTTAAAATATTTTAAATGTTGTACTTTCATAGGGACTTTATAAGCATTGAATCTTTATTTCTCTATTCATCCCTTTTACAGGCTTGGTAATAAGTAACACATGTAAACACACCATCTTTCTAAGCCATTTAACATAGCTTATTTATCCATCATAAACGTCAAATTCCTTCATCAAGTTTTTTTCATAATTTGATGATTTCCCATAGTATCTACTGACATCATACAAACAATTCATAAATGCTTTCACTTATACAGAATTCCTTGTACTATATTCATAATCAACTTAAATAACCTAATTTATGGCCTATAACCCATTCAGGTATACTTTCTTATCTGTCTCATCAGGCTTCTGTAACTACATGTTTATACAAGAGTTATTCTCTTTGTTAAATCTTAACAACATTCATCATTACTTAAGTATATCTATTATTATTAGCCTTACCAGTACTAGCATAAATCAGTAAAATCAGCTTTATTATCAGCTTTGTTTGTTACACCAGCTGTGTCCCTACCTAAAGCTGGAGGATCTAAAGATAGTAGCACACACACTGATAACCTCAAGGCTGGACGTCTGCAATGTACTGTACATTGAGTTACCTCTGTATCAAGTTCGTAAACTTAAACAAGTTCCAAACATGGCAGCCAGATTTGTTACTGGGACATCCAGGAGTGAACATATCATACCACTATTAAAATCATTCCACTGGCTGCCAATTAGTTTCTGGGCAAAGTACAAAGTGTTGGTTATTTCCTTTAAAGCCCTACATGGTTTGGATCCAGGTTATCTACAGGAACACCTTCTCCCATACAGCCCTGTACACTCTGTCCTCTGCAGCACATTTACTCAAATTATCTAGGACTAGGTTAGCAACTCTAAGGCCAAGGACATTTTCTTCTAGACTGTGGATCAGCTTGCCAGATGAGGTTTGACATGTGAATATACTGTCCAAATTTAAGACAGCGTTAAAGACCAGTCTCTTGTAGCAGGCTTCTGCAAATGATTTTAAATTGTAAATTTTAAATGATGAATTTTAAATGTGGAATGTTTTAATATGCTTTTGTCTTGTCTGTTCTTTTAACTGATATTATTTATTAGTTGGTCTGTTGTTGTTCCCTGTCTCAAATTATGAGGAGAAATAACAACAACAACAATTATTATTGATCAGTATTTTAGAGTGGCACATCAGTCTGGAATGGTCATGTTTGTTTAATCAAAACATCTTCTGTTGTGAAGGCATGCCAAAAGTAGCCTATTTTAGATTTTATCTCAGCCTTTTTTATCCTCTCCTTATCCTCACTCAGCTTGTCTGTTGACAATCAAAACTTGACTAGTTCACAACTGAGTTGTACATAAGAGATATCTAGTACACTATCGCTTGCCCAATAAAAATACACATCTTTCTATAACTCCATCTGTGATACACTAGCAGTATCACTCATCTCATCTAATGCACCTGTCTCTTCCAAGGTACTTGTCATGGTTTATTTATTCTCCAGAATCTACGGATGCCTTTGTCTCTAGAGTACAAGTGCATTTTCTTATCTTTAGTTTCTACTTCAGAGCATCACTCGTCCCATACTGACTGGTACTGTAGACAGTTTTCAGCTGACATGTGCACACACACACACACACACACACACACACACACACACACACGGGGTATTAGCTCTCACTAGGTTAATTATGCCCTTTAAAGTTATATGTCACTGGTCTGCAACAAAATGGCCAGGAAGTTTCAGACATGGTCGAAGAACAACATCCATCTTTATCCTTCCTCTTCCAGAAAGATGAAGGAGGTGAGCTCCGTAGATGTGAGTAAGAAAACAATACTGTATTTGAGAATATCATATTCTTATTGTTATGTGTCATCAAGTTGGCTTTGACTTATCTCAGCCTTTTTTATCTTCTCCTTATCCCCACTCAGCTTGTCTGTTGACAATCAAAACTTGACTAGCTCACAACTGAGTTGTACACAATAGATATCTAGTACACTATTACTTGCCCAATAAAGATACACACCCTTCCATAGCCCCACCTGTGATATGGTAGCAGTCTCTGAAGAACAGAGACTTCCAAGAGCCCCTATTATTTACAGGTGTGCAATTTCAGGGCCTGGATTTCTTCATTGAGTCAACCCACCTAAAGTTATCTACCTCTTTTCCTTTTGCCTTCAACTTTACTGAGCATTATTATCTTTTTAAAATAAATATTTCATTAAACATATAAGAAGATACAAACTCTCTCTCTCTCTCTCTCTCTCACACACACAAATACCTGTACTAACATTCTCTTTCCAAATCCCAATATCTTCCAATACTCACATAACATAACATACATTTTCTTTTGCTTTGACCTTCTATATTCTTTCCTCAGCTTCATCTTTATTTCTCCTCCCATTTACACTTACCCATCTTGTCACTTTAACATGTATAATAACCTTCATCCTACTTACTCATAACCCCCACTTTTACTTTCTCATATCTTCACATAAACATACTTGAACATTTGTTCGTATTTCCTTCTTGCTAATATCAGTTCAAATATAGTTATCCCTGTTTATTGTATTATTTGTTGTTATAAGAGTCATTCAAGTATCTCTCCAGTATGTTACATTTCTACTCTTATCTATTCAATTCTCTATTTTTCATATGTTAAAAATATATAATAAAATAACTTTCCCTATTCCAACTCACATTTTCTACTATTTTTAATAACTTGATTTCCTAACCCTTAGAACCTTCCTATTTGAGGTTTTGACCTCCAACAAAGGTAAAACATTGTTCTTCTTAAATTTGGAGTGGATTGGCATCTTTTACCTCAGTGCCATCCAAAGTTTTCCTGATGCAAAAGCATGGAGGCTTCTTGAGAAATCCAATGTCCTCTGCCTACACAGGGGCCTGCGACTTCACAAGGACGGAGGCATATTGGATTGCAAAGGAAGTGTCTTTGTTGAGATCCAAATGGATGTTAAATTTCCTGGACTTTGAGAATCTCCCAGTTGCCACATGGCCAGAAGAAGGAGGAGCCAGCTTACAAGATATGCCCCTCCATACTATCTTGATTAAGAACAGAAACAGCAAAATGCGGGCCTATGACTAACATCTTCAATTTTTTTCTCCTGTTTGGTTTGTAACACCTTGCTTGATGAAGAAGCCAGTGAAGCTCCGAAAGCTTGCAACATGTATATTGTGCATTTTGGTTGGCTAATAAAGTTATCACTGTTTGGTGGATTTTTGATTGGCCTTGGTATCTATTTCTTTGTTGAGTTTTGTTCTCTTGCTATGTAAAGACCACTTTAAGTTGTACTACCTTCTGGTTAGTTAGCTTTCCCTTTATCAAAATCTGTTTCAATTTTCCAATTAATTTAAACTATTGAATTTCCATATGTTTTGGCTATTTAAATATCTCACTTGTAACAAAATTTCAAGAAATGAAACTACTAATTTCTACCTTTTATTTCCCCACAGTGGAGAAACTTCTTTCAATTCATTTATACAGTGATCAATTGGTTTATCATTTATTTAATTTGTCAATACACCCATCTTGGCCATCTAATATAACTTTAATAATCATTCCTGTTCCATTGGAATTTTGAAGTTTGCATTTTTATGTATAAATTAGCCAAGCTGCAGTTATTCTATATAGTAAAAAATAATTTTAAAAATCCAATATTTTTTTTGCATGTGTTTCTATAGACTATTTAATATATTTAACAAATATTTGATACTCAATTTTTAATGTTTGTGTTATTAAGGTATGCATCTGTTTCCAAAATTTCTTTGCAAGGGGGCAATGCCAC